CAAGCTCTCTGTCATGCTGGGGAAACATCTTAAAATAGAACTTTCTAATCCATTCAGGCTGTCCAGTGTTGCTTGAATTTGTGCTGTCATTAGGAACAGTACTTTAAATGTAAACCTCAATTTGAGAATGATTTATTATGTAATTGACCTCAATCCAAGGGAACTCAGAGGGCAGATACCTGAGAGGACCTGGAGCCTCGCCTCCAGCGGCCGCAGGATTCCTCTTTGTGGCATCTAAGCTTGCTCAGCCCTTGTCTTGAGGACGCCCAGCCAGCATCTAGTGTCTGAAGGACACATCTGAAGGTAGAGACTCATCTACCGTATTGAAGAAATGTAAAAATGACAGCTTTGTAGTAAAGCCTCGTGCAATCACAATGGCTCGCAGCAATATTCTCTTCTCTCAGAATCTTATGGCCACAGGCTGACTGGCTTAATTTTATCTTTCTATCTGGTTTTACAGTCTTCTTGCATGAAAGACTTGCACTAGAATGGGAGCACTGTAATAAAAGAAAAATATTTGAAAACCAATTACAAAATAAAAAGGAGGCCCAGGAAAATACAGGCAGCATTGAGAAATCTGAGGATAAGGAAAGAGCATATGCCGATAGGGATGGTTTAAGGCGCTGCACGATTCTTAAGATTGGGCCACACACTGGATTCCGAGCTTCCTGGCAGACAAAGCAAAAAGGGCAAAGCCCCAAAAGCACATGCTGTCTTCTGGACAGGATTTGGGTTGGAAACAATATGTGAGGCGGGTTCCGTGTGTGCACGTCAGGCTTCCTGTGGGCCGTGATTCTTGGGAAGCCACGCTCCCCACGCCAGCCTCGTGTTTCACATCAGTGTTCTCTTCCAGGGACAATGAATCGTTCTCCCCAGGACACTGGCTCTCACAGCATTCATGGAGACAGGAAGCTGTATGCTGTGGATTCCATAAACGACTTACACAAGCTGAACCTGTGTCCCGCCGGATCTCAGCACGTGTTCCGTACGTGTGCCCTCCAAGGCCCAGCAGGTCCCCAGCAGCTTCTGGGCCGCCTGCATCTAGGGGACGCTAATCTGCTCCTGTGGGTGTGGAGAGCTGGGGAGAGGGCAGAGCGTAGTAACAGCTTGGCCCTGGAAATGCTATTGATCATTTGCCAATATCTGCTTTGGTTCTCTGAGTAGCTCATAGGCTCTTGGTTCTCTTGGCTCCGAAGCAAGATTTGAACTCTTGTCTTCAAAAGTTCTGAGAAGTCCCCGTTGGGTTTCTGTCTCTGGAGAGCAGGGGAGGCTGCAAAG